AGTTTGTGAACTGAATCCATCAGTTCCAATTTTGTGGGATCATCAAGTCCTGTATTTGCGATGGTCATCACGCCCTCACCATTTCGTCTCACTCCCGGTCATTCTTATGGGACGTGGTCTTCGCCCCCATAGCAGCTCAATTTGGAATCGTTCAGGACTGAACTGTTTCTCGCCATCGGTGGAGTCCAGTATTGTGCCTGTCAAGCTCTCACACTTAAGACCATCTTGTTTCTATAAGATCGTTTCTTGATTCTTTACCCTTACCATTGTAAACTAGTTCCAGTCAGCATTTTCTTTGTCATATTTTTGACAGGCTCAGTGTATTTAGTGTATCATTAAGGTATAATTGTTTATTTTTTCCCCGTGTGATTTTGTTTGATTTGTTTGTTGCATCAGAGAAAATTCAAGCTTCAGAAAAAAAATAGTTTGGAGTTAACGATACATTCATTTCTACATTGCTCCTATTTTTCGATTTCACAGAACTGTCCAGATGGTGTTGTGTGTGCCTGTATTTTGTACATTTTAATATGACAACTGCAGAATGGATGTCCTGTTTGCTCTGTCACGACGAGAGCCATGTAACATATCGTCATTGCCGCACCGCGTATTCTCCCATTCTCTGTGCATGTGTTTGCCGAGCAGATTTGTGACCATGTTTAGTGTCACTTGTTTGCCTTGGCCAGGGTTTTTCTGGGAAGGCTTGGGCATAGGGCTCCAAATTAAGAGGCTCAGAGCTTGAATTATCTCTCAGTCAAGCTCTTTGGGGTTGTTTACTTTTTTACGTTGCCATTTCCAAAGGTCACAACGGAATCGGTGGAATTCCCAACTCTGGAAATGTGGAGTGTGTAAAGGTCAATTGCTGTTTTGGGTGCGGGAGTGGCGCTTCTCTGGCATGCTGCCCTGAACTTCGCGTGACTAAACTAAATGTTGAAGGTTTGGAAAATGTTCAGGCTTTGCCTTGAATGTCCGTAGTGGTGTAGGAGAAAAGACAATTCATCGCATCTGCATTTTTCAGATCATACATGAATCAACAGCCACTGTGGTTTCTGCATTCACAACATACCTCTCAGAACATAACACCAAACAACAAAACACCAGAGATGAATAACAAAATCCAAAATTTTAGGCAATATTTTGGACATGCGAGCCACTGTTGCCCATCGATTAACTCTCCTTTTACCACATTAACTGAAAAAGTGAGATTTGGTTTCTGCCTTCTCATCCGATCAAATGGTACTGCTAGTGGTTGACAGGTTAAGATAAGAATTGAATCTAGGGCAGCATATTTTGTGTGAGTTTGAGGCGTTTCCCGTGAAAGGTTTTACAGTCATAATCAGGGGCGACCTAGACTTATACTTGCTGGGGGAGGTAAGTGACCACTGTTTATCCGAGTGTTGTCCTCTGTCTGTCCGAGTACCGGTCATATCATTCACTGTGCAGTCAACCAGACTAAACATATCTTTGCTGGGTTTGTTGGATACTCTCCAATCATAGTCCTATTTCTTTGCAACGTCACAGCCGCAGCAATCTCACAGTTTGTTCTGAATCGGTATCTCTCACTGGAAACTCCACTAACTGCAAGTGAAATGAAGTGCTTGCTAGCTTGGACAATCCCTTGGGCTGTGCGGCAGGCCTCAGGCTGAGGTTTTTTCTCCTGAAACGTTGGAACATACCAAAAAGCAGAGGTTGTTGGTATGGATTTTCCAGCCTTTTATGTCTGCCCACAGGATTCCCCCATAAATGCACATCTGCCTCACCGACCAACTTTGCCTCGATTTTTCTTAGAATGCACCGCGAGCAGTGCTGGAGTCCCTACTCGCCAATACGTTAAAAAAAATCAATCAGGTCTAGATCTGTTTTGCAGGGGCTTGTGTGGAATGCAGGGAGATTTGTGAAAAGCTCGGTTTGTCGTCTCCTGAGTTTCAATTTTTATCGCCCACCTTTTCATCATACCCGTAGAAGAGGCTCGACGGAGGATCTGCTTATAATGTTAGTCCGCATTTGGAGGGAGGAATCCCTGGGCTGTTTCCAGAAAAAAAGTGCTGAGACCTGCCCACGTGGGAAAAGCTTCATAATCAAAACTGTATTAGAGGTGTCAGAAAATGGTAAAAGAAAATTCACATCCGCAGCAGAAATGAGCTGCCTCTTCACCACAATGAAATGAATGGTCGGCTTCCTTGTATAGCGAGCGGTAAGAGCTGCTGAGTGGGGTTTTTTTTGGGGGGAGGGGAAGGGAGTTTTCACCCACTGCTGGTTTGGGGGAAATTTTTTAATGCGTCAGAATGATAATCCGGCTGCCACGAGAAGTGGTCAATTTCTCGAAGCAAAAACATGGGTGTGGTTTTAATATTTTTCTGTGTTTTTTAGGGGCAGGAGGTGCTAATATCTTTGATAATTGTTTCCATTTGTAGAACACCCTGATATTTTGTGGTCTGATCTCCCAGGAATACAAGTGTGGTGTACATGTATTTAGGGTTGGATTCCAAGGCTGTTGAAATCCGAAGTCCTACAAATCTGTGATGTAGGTGTCAAGCATTTAGATTATAGAGAAATAGATTAGAAATAAACAACACTGAGTCTCCTGTGGTGAGCCAACTGGTTGTACACTTAATGGCTGCCAGAGAAAGAGGCCAATATCAGCTCAAAGTGGAAATCCCTGTCCATTCCAAACAAAATTATGTCTTTCATGAAAAGGTCCTGATCCAGTCTTTGCCATTAAAGAAATTTACATGTAAATGGGATATATTTCTTGTGGTTAGAGCATTGACATTTTATCAGTTTTTACTCAGGAAATGATCGTAACTTTGATTAAAACTTTGATCTGTTTCAAACACTACCCGTTCAACTTAAGATCACGAGCTCTTCTCCCATGGACCTGGGTATCCAGGGTTATGGTAGTTGCTGGTGTTTTGTGAACCCTCAAGGTGCATTTTCAGGAATTTTCCCATTGTTTGTAACCCCGTCCCCCAATTTTATTTTCACACACATATCCCTCCATTCTTGCACCAATCTGTAGTTTGCTGCTCTCTCAAAAGGCTTTTTTACGCATGATGCTATAAAATTGCATAAGAGTCATTCTAAAATTCAGGGTCTCATTTTTTTGCCTGTCCATGTTGCATCTGGCATATGGTTTCATAAGTTTAAAACACAATTTTTTTAAATTTCCAAGAGTGATTAAGTAACGCAGATTACGTGCCAAACAAATAAAAAAATCTGTAGACCCTATTTGTTGTCATGTTCATTGATACATCCCTTGTCAAATTTCATGAGTCAGGTGTAACTTTAACAGGGACAGAAAAATGTCACATTATAGAGCTTGTGTGGGGAAAAGTTGTCATTAATGCATGGATATGTTAATGTGAAATGCATGTACACTCTACCAGTGGTCATAATTACACATGGGTTCACATATTCATTCGGGCTAAAAATGTGAAAATTAGCAAAATTTCCATTGGTTCCTGCTGAGTGTAACAAAGAGAAGTCATGGCTCAGTCCAGTTCTGGGGAACCACTTGTGCCCCCAGCTGCCCTCCAGAAAATTTCAAGGTGACCAGACATATCAAGTCCAGACACCCTACATGTTCCTTTTGACCCCCTCCCCCTTCTGTCTTTGGCCAGACAAGGACACCACCTGTAGTGGCAGCTTGCCATATGGAAGGCATTAATAATAACCAGCAGATTCAGCTTGGCCTATTGTAAATGGCCCACAGACCATTGATAATTGCAGAGAGCTGTGGGCCCTTAATGTGATTCACACAGGCGTTGCTGGCCTGGCCTTGTATTATTCATTTAGTTGAGCAAGGCTTTTCCAGGAACTCCAGCCAGCATAAGTGTGGCCTTGTTATTTACTTGTGGTAAATTTAGCCCACAAGTGACCTTGTTCAGAGGTTTGTGTTGCCAGTAGAGGCTGTTGGAAGGTTCACATTGGAATTCTCAGTCTTGGGTAGGATGGTGTAGAGGAAAAGGGAATTTTAGGACTTTGAACTGGGTCCCCCTGGGTTGATTACTAAGTGTGATACTTGGATAGTGACAAATCAGATTATAGCTGGGGCTCCAATTGATTGGCGGATCTTTTTCCCTTGGAATTGACTCTGTGTTCCTTCCCCCATGGTTCTTCAAAGACAATCCAATCTTATTTGCTCAAGGATGTACTGTGACAGTGGAAGTAAAAAAAAATTCTTGAAGTTCGCTTTTGATTTTTTTCCCGACTAGTGAATTCATGTTTATGATTTCTTTTCTGTATCTTCTTTATGACACCAGATGGGAGATGGTTGCATGCTCACACTTCATGTGATTTATCTTAGAGATTGTGTCTAAAACAGGCTTCCAGAGCTACGGCTAGGTCTATTGTCTACGCGTCTCCACACGTTTCCAATGGAGAGAAGACCTAGGCGTAGCTCTAGACAACAGATTCGAATGCAGCCTCAGATTGCTATAAAGCACTCCTGAATTTATGTTCTTTGCCCATGTCAGCAAATGTTGTACGTGTAGGGTGTACATGTACATGTTTGTGAATTGTTTCATTCCCAGATAAGCTGTATGTGTTGATGCATCTTTTTGTAAATGGCAAGCCCGTTTGTTTCATATCCATCAGTTCATGCACAAAGGTTGAGGCAGATCTGTTCCAATATGCACTCCTCTTATGATGTCATGGTGATACAGTGAGTTAGCACTCAAAGAATGAAGTAAATCGTGGCTTGTGGCCAAATTGTTGAAAAAAACTGAAGTTGACCATACTTTCATTGTAACTCCTTCCATCAGATGCAAGATCATAACCATTCTGTGACAGTTGTCCTATCTTCTTCATGCAACACATTGTGTGTGCACCCTGTCGGATTGGTATAGACAGTAATGATACAATACAATACATTTTACTGGACTTTTTCCCCAACAGTGCAAAACAGTCTGCTTGCCGAAACTGATAACAGTCTGCTCACAGCTTTTTTTAGGGGAACGGTTACTGCTTTCCATGCTACCATAATCAATTTGTTCTCCCTCTAGGGCTGTGGCTCCCATCGCTCAGGTCATCGGGGCGAGGCGAGGTCTCTTCTCTTCATCTAACCGCCGTCACTCCGACCCCCAGAGTAAAGCGCAGCCACCAGGAGCGATGACACAAGGGCCGGACACCAAGGGTGCCACTGGATCAGGTGGGTACTGCTCGGTCAGAATACTGCCTCTGCCATTGGCTGATGAGGGATCGGCCGCAGAGGTGCAGGATAAAGGCTGGTTCTTGCCTTGAGGAACTCTAACATGGGGTCAATTGACATAATTGTCACCTGCATGCAAATTTGGTTATGGCCAGTCAGTCTGTAAGAATTGTCAAAATGTGCGTTGCGACCATTGAAATCACTGAACGGCGATCGCCTGCACTCATTCTCGTGAGGACAGGTTTGCCAGTCTAGGTCCATGCAGGAGTTTAGACACAAAATGTCACTAGTTCCTGCAGGCAAAGAGCTCTTCAGAGTTTGGATAGAACTGGCCTCGGTAAAAAAAAAAAAAAAAGATAATCTACTTTGCTACTGTTTGTCAAAAATAGGATTTGTTTTGTTACTGTCATGTTTTTGGACCATAAATGCTTCAATTAGTTTTGATAACTTTCCATGTGCATGTGCTGTATTAGGGACCATTACGACTGGTGCGGATGGGGGATAAATATGCAGCAAAATAAAACTGGATTGTCCAATCACAGTTTTGTGCATTTCTTTCAAAAACCAATGTGTGACATACATGAGCTCATTGATGTGAAATGCAGATTGCTTAGAATGTATGTATGGACAAAAATAACCTTGCAAAGTTGTGCTTTAACCACCCAGTTTTTCCGAGCTTCATATGTGTCCCATATTTGTACCATTTCTGATGGTCCCTACAAATAGACTTTTACCTTTTGCGAATGAAGCAGGAGTGAGACAATGGCAGTAACAGGCTTTCAGTGAATGGTTCATGTTGATGACAAATTACTAGTAAATACATTGTATGTGTCATTGCTTGAATTCAAACATGGTTTTTATGGGTGAATGAATACACATAGGGTATATGCGTAATCTTTAAGTGGAAGGTGCTCTGCTTAAAGGAAAGTCCCTTTTCTTCAAACAGTCTTCATCGTTTTTTCAAGAGGTCCTTCTGACAGACAGCTAAGTGTCCCTGATATAGTACTGAAATTCCTCACAACTGTTGACAATTGATCATCTTAAAATCTGCCTCAAGGGGCCTGTAGGTTACGTGTACATTTCATTCATTCATTTTTCAATTTGAGAACCAAATCAAACAACCAAAAACAAGTTGTTTTGTTTTCGATTTGAAAACAAAACTGAAAACCGAAAATCAAGTCATTCCTTGTTTTTCAATGTGAAAACAGAAAACGAATTATCATTTTTCAAAATGAAAATGAACAACAGCGTAATCTATTGAAAACAGTTCCATTTTTCATTGTGTAACGTAAGAAGCATTTTTGTTGGCCATTAAATCAAACATTGCTGAACTAGGGAACACAAAGAATGTTTTGCTTATAAAGTGAAAAGAGGAGCAACTCGGAAGGAAAATTTTTGCATGCTCAGAGGCAACTTATATCTTGAGAAGTGCTCAGAGACGTCCGTAACACCTTGAAATTACATGGGATTAGTTGGGATAAAAAGTGAAAACAGGATTACTTTCCTTTTTCGTTTTGAACAGGAAAAACAAGAAATGACTTCTTTGTCTTTTTCCTCATTTTTTGATTTCAAATTGAAAACGGAAAACGACTTGTGTTTGGTTATGTGATATTCATTTTCAAATCAAAAAAGGAATGAACAAAATGTACATGGACCCTGTAGGCTAGCCACGCTCAGGTGTGGTGTCTGCTCAGTGTGTTTTATCGTCAAATTCAGGTGAATACTCTATCTTCCCAAAACAGTGCTGTGGGGTTGGAACTAAGTCCTTTGTGTGTTAGCCTTAAACAGAGTCTGTCTGTCTGTCCATCCGTCCGTCCGTTCGTCTGTCTTTTTTTTTCATTTCATTCCATTGCAAGACACCTAGTTTGGGAAATCTTTTTGGATTTTTGTTTAATAATAACTACTTATTATTTGCATCAGCAAAGAAATTAATTTTAAGTTTTGGAGCAAAGAATGTAAAGTTATAGGAAAGAGAGAGACTATGAATGCTGCAGCAGTTAGTGTCTGAGGTTTGATGGCCTTTGTGTAGGTAGGCGGGTTCTCAACCAACTGGTGCTTTTGGCTATACATGTAGTGAGCTCTAAATAAAGTCCTCCCTGGGTAGGTCATCAGGTGCTGACATTGTGGTATATGGAGCTTGCAATAGTCCTTTAAATGCCAATCTATGCACCCATTTTAGGTGGCCTGAAACAGTTTGGGAAAGCTTAAAGGTCATGTCTCCTAGCTGCCCTGCCCAAATCTCCCAGTTTTAGGCACTAGTAGAAGACAACATGACAGCATTCTGAGAAAAAAAAAGTCTTGTGGGTTTCATACCGAATTTTTTACAAACTATTTTTGGTCCTCTCCCTCCTCGCAAATATCCTTCATTTAATAAGAAAATATCCAAGTTTTGCCGCTTTTTTTTGGCATCTGGCCCCCTTAATTTTTTTGGGGGGGGTTCTTCGATGGTGTTTTGTGGGTTTCCTTTGGGGAGCAACATGTTGGTTAACCATGGTCCAGACAAGAGGCAGTTTGTCTGGTATGAGAGCATTGGTGGGTGTTTGCCCGTCTGCGGTTTCTCTGGTCCATTTTGAAAAAAAATTGCAGACGCCATACCATCCTCTCAAGATGGCTCCAGACATTCTTAATGTAGTCTGAAATACCCCGCACCTGATGAAAGCTATTCTAGGGGATAGTTTGAGGATGAAAACAGGAATTTTCAAGGGATAATGTGACTCAACCTATGGCCAATTTCTCAAGAGCGAGGAAGTACTCAAACAATTCCTAAGACTGAGTCCTAGTGAGTCTTTGCTTTTGGCATGTCAATCTCTCCTCTCCTAGCCCTTCCTGCAAAGAAATATAGGGACCACCCCAAATCTGGGGAATTGTTGGGTTTATTTGTTTTACAGTTGTCATAGTTTGTTTTTTGTGTGTAGTTTATTTGTTGTAGGTTTGTTTTGGGATGGGAAGACTTAAAGACTAAGCCCAAATGAACCCTTTAAGTTAATGGAGGCTATTGTGGACGTTAAGTTTGTTCTACATGTAGATGGTCTGTTTTTCATTTTACAACACAGAACATTGACCGTTCATTCTGGTTTGTTTTTGATGAGTGTGGTTAAGCAATTTGGGTATTGTTCCCAAACTCTTGCTCTACAGGTCGGTTGTACATGTACATGTGCAAACAGAATGTAATCCGAAGTGACACAGATGCCATTTTTGTTAACAGTGGTAGAGATGCTGTACTTCTCTATTTACCACTCTTCAGTTATTTCTTTGAAAGGATGGTGCTTAATCACTCAGAAATCCATACTCGCAAAAAGAAACCAACCAAAACCATGACAGAAATGTCTCCAGTGGTTCCAGACAATGTCAGGACTTCTCATGAGACAAAGCCTTCCTGCCGTTTAGAAATGACATCTTGGAAACCCACCGCAAATATCTCAAGTGGAGTTCCGAGAAGCTCAAGTCCCTCCGTGTGGTCACACGGGCTTCGCGGACATCATCATCTGTTACTGTCAGATGACAGGGTGCTGTCTGGGCTGAACAGCATGAGGACTTGTTGCTCGTGGGGGAAAAGTCCCTGGCATTGGGCTAGGTGGAGTGAAGGTTGTTACTGTGGTCTGCATTTCAGGGAAGGTGCCAATTTAGGGCCATTCTGGGTGCACTCCGCTAATTTAAGCCCCTATTGAAAACAGTGTCAAATTTAAATCAAAGTTAAGGGCTGAATAGCTGGCAAGGCAACATTGCCTGGGGTTTCTTAAATAAAAATCAAATGATTATCTTGTCCTTCATCTTTCAGTGCCTTTTCAATGTTGGGGAGTCAGCCAATTAACTGAACTGTTAACTTAATTAACTAACTGTTCACATGAAACAAACTCAACCCCAACAAAGTGATTGGGAATCCGGATCTCGATCCATGATCCCAATGCTGGTTTGCACCATTCATTAGGCAGGATCTGGTGTCAGTGAAACATCTTTGGATCATTGATCACAATGGGGATACACTTAAATTGGCCCTCATTAGTCAGTGTACTACATGATCTTGCTAGTTAGAGAAACTTGTACGTATACATGTCCCTTTAGATTCTTGGGGATATACATGTAGGAACAGTGGAGGACCAGGTATCTGATTTTTGAAGCAAATTTATCTCCCCCCCCAAAAAAAAAAAGTACTGCAAGACTTGAATGAAGTGAATACATCTCAGTGGCTTGGTTGGGAGAGTGTTTGTGTAGAAAGCCCAACACTACGCCTGTGTGTGTTTATAACCCTGTGTTTGGTCAGTATCAAGGCAAAAGTATGCTTATGTAACACGTAAAGAAAATACATGAAGTTGGATTTGGACACAGGTTGCCCAGGCTTGCAAAAACCTTTTGAAAAGGTTGCCCAAATGTTGCTTTAGGTTGAAAAAAAGAAGGGGTTCGTGATTCATTCTTTTTGCAGACCTTTCCATTTTTATGTTCTAGTACTTAATAAGAAGCGTTTGGTTTACCAAATGGCCTCATACAAAATGTGGTGCCTCATTAAAGGAAGTTGTCATTGTCCCAGTTCCAAATTTGCGCTGTGATTACACATGATTGATGGCTAGGTCAGAAATCTGTCACTCTTGCGGCTTTGCAGTGGGCCTTATCGCGGTTGCTTCATGTCACATGGTTAACATTTGACACCAGTCAAAGGATACACCTAAGTTTGCTCATGATGAGTTTCACATGTTGGTTCCCTTGACCCAGTTTTCTCCCTAGCCAAAGAGCGTTCATGTAGTATTGGAACAAGATATCCAGTTGATCGGTTGACAAACAACTTGTTGTTCCATTTTCATCTTAACCGTACATTTATCTTTTACTTCTTTTTGGGGGGGGGGCTACCCCACAGGTGCATGGTCAGTGTCTTGTTTTTCCTGTACATTTTTTAGCCCCTCTGGAAGTTGATTTATTCTCAGCTGGAAATCTCGTTTTTGAATTTCGGTGAAAACAGGATAAAAATAGACCTTTGATAGGACTGACTGCTGCGTTTGCTATTGAAACAGGCGCTGCCAGGTTTAAAGTAGCTTAATTCGAGAATCAAGTAAGGGCAACAGGTTATCTTCTATGAAATGCAGCTTTTGTTCTTCAGCATTTCGATTATGTATCTCCATTGCATGTGAAGTAGGGCTCTCAGAAGTTACATGACACACCCCATATAAAATCTCAGACTTCTTTTTTTTTTTTGGTGTGTTTTTTGGGGGGTGGGGTGGGGAAGAAAATAGTCCCTTATTTAACATATGTAATGGAAAACCCATTTGTTGTTGTTGAGAATTCCTTAGGGATGTCTGTTGTTCTCATCAATCTTTGAAGTCCTTTCGGCTCAATGAGCAGTTTGGTAACTTTTTTAAGGCATGAGATATTGCCCCAATCCCTCCAAATTTTTTTTTCCTCATGAAAAGGACTGCCTTACAAGATGCCAGTATGGCTGAGCTATGCCTTTGTATGTGGCAGCATGCTCTTCGAGTTTATGGACAAAGAACATCTGTTGGGCATTCTGCCCGGCTTGGTTTCTCTGAAAAACCAGAGTGGTTGGTTTGGTGTTTAGACAGCACTGGTTTTCACCACAGAAATTCCATCGGATTGTGCATATTGGCAGTTGTGATATGTTTTGAAGACAGCATTTGTAGTTCTTTTTCTCCAATCAAGCATCTTTGAAAACATCCCCCTACAGAATAATGAGAAATTAGCTTTGCATCTTTTTTCAGTATTTTAAATAGTGTAAGCTTTTAATGGATTTTTAATTGATTTGTGTCATTTCTAATTCTGTATTTGTTCCCTTCACACTAATTTCTCAAGTGCAAACTCAGAAAGTGAGACCCAGGGACAGGGAGAAGGTAGATGAAATGATTTACCTGTCTTTTATTCCTTTTTTTTTTGAGCCATCTGCAAATTACTTTTCCTGTTTTTTTTTTTGGAAAAGAATGAGAAGAAAAAGAACAAATTTAGCCTGGCATGCTGTTAGGTAATGTCAAACCCTTGGGCATGACAACCTCTGACCCTGTGTACTTTGACTTTGTTTGTAAGAGCCAAATGATTTCTGTATAATTCCAACCGAGTGATGTTCCCGTTTTGTTATTTGATTTTTAATTGTGGCCATTTTGTTCCTTTAATCCCCTTGCATCGGCTTCCACAAATTGAGAACCATGTTATTGAGACCTTTTTGAATGTCTCATGCATCTCTGTTCATGTGATTGGTCCACAGCACTGTTTCAGTAGACTTTCAGGGTGAGAAAGGGGGATTGGGCCTGGGTCATGCATGTGGGCCTTTCATCAGGGTGTGGCCAAGGGGAGGTTTAGTATCTCTGTTTTAAAATTCCTGTTCTGCCTCAAAATCCCTGAGAAATATCCTAAATTCAATTTTGATATAGAGGATAAAGGCTTTTTTGTGTGTACATGTACTGTTAAGTAGTCCTACTAAAAAGTATGTGAAGTGCACAACTTAAGGCGCCTCTCCATATGCACGTCTACTATTGCATCAAGCGTTGCGTATCCGTCCAAATCACTCCCAGCGATTTTGATGGCCAAACTCAACGCACATGTGTGTTATGTTTATGGAATTGATTTTTGTGTCCATGAAAGTGGAATGCATGAACGTCTCATGTATGCAGTGCACCTAAAAAAAAAAGGTAGAAATGGACATGTGCCTTTATTCAGCAGCTAGATGAAGATTTCAAATCCTCGTTTTGCTTTTTTGGACTTTTTTGGTTTTTGTGATTTGTGTAACCTTGCTGACGCTATACAGGAATAGTAGAACGGGCATTAGGCACTAAGCTGCTTGCCTGATGCAGGACACACAGGACCGGTTTTTATCTGAACATGGACAACACTGTTAAGTCATTGCACAGGAAGAATGCGCTTTAGCGTGGTTGCTCGACGGATTAAACTCAAAGAGTCCTGTAGCATTAGACTCTTTGATATTTTTGTCTGTCGAGGCTGAAATTGCTTCTCTTTCTTATCTTCTAGTCCTATTCTGAATTTTAAAAAGTTCACATCCCAGAAGGGAAAATGAGGGGAATTATCTTTGGCTCATGAGACTGCAGCAGCTTGTCATACCCTCTTACATGTACCTTCCCTTTCCCCAACCTCACTCTCCATCCCGCCAGACCCTCCTGCCATCTCTAGCTCCTCCCTTCTCCAGCTCCTACTTACAGTGCCCTACAATCTCAATGTACCTGTTGATAAAAGACTAACATCTGTAGTGAATGTCACTAACACTATCAGTGATCTATGTTAAGAGTCCACAGTGAGGGACGTTCAAAGCTTTTCTTTGTTCCTATCAAAGTCGACTTGAGTTTCGTTACTGACTAGTTTCACATGAGTAATAACACACTTAAGGCCAACAGAAAGGGCTGGCGGAGGTTCTAAGCAGTGTGTAATAAGCCTTTAGTGAATTAAATTTGAATAAATTTGGTACAATGAGTTATTTGATTGTACGTAAACACAATCTAAATTCCCCAGACTAAAGACACTGTTGCTATTCCGCGTGATTCGGGGCAAGCTTTTGCATAGGGACCACTATCTCTGGAATGGACTGGTTGCTTTGTGCCCTTTTAATCCATTGAAACAGGGTATTGGTGCGAGGCATCTCTCAAGTAACTTTCAGCGAAAGCTTGCTCCAAATCACGAGGTACCGGTATAGCAACAGTGTCTTTAGTACGCAGGATTCAAATGGGTATGTTCACGTGAATTTAAAGAACTAATGTAAGCGTTTGAGACTTTATTCAGATTTAACTTGCAAAGGCTTATTAGAGGCTGTTGATCACAGGGCTGGTTGTAGGTACAGAATTTTGAAAGCAGGTTAGTAATAAGCATTTTGTGATTTGCCAGATTTGGGGTTTGCTTTCAGGGTAGCATACATATAAGAGAGTCCAATTTTCATGGCTCAATTCATTTAAAGTCTCAATTTGTGTTTTTCTTTTGGAAATGAATATCTCACTCTTGTATTTTTCATTGTCACTTAAGATGAGCTAACTATGTACTGTACTTTAAAATCTTTTGCACATGTAACAGATGGAACATTTGTTTGTAAAAGCAAATATTCGTTCTTGAACTTATTGTATTGTATACACTCACTTGACCTGGTTTTACATGGATTCTTCTGTGCAGGTTCACCAGCCAAGAGCAAGCCCAAGCCGGTATCGGGATCGCCGTCTCACACCCCCTCCAAGAGCCGCTGGACCGGGGCCAGGAGGCCAGTCACTGGCTCGCCGGAAGTAGAGGAAGCCAAGGACGCCATGTCACCATCGGCCTTCGGCACTCCTCCAATGGATGAAGATCAGCCCGCCCACGTCCAGCCAGATTTTGACAGCAGCAGCAGCAGTAACAATGCTGTCACCTTTGACAGTGATGACAACTTCTACCAGCCAACCAGTGAGCTTGATGACGATCAGTCTGCTTTACCTCCCACCCTGGCCAAGTCCAAAGCCCCGCCCCTCACCCTCATCCCAAGCTCCAACTCTGCCAAAGGCCATGTGGAGTCACCCAAGCTCCTCCCTCCAGCATCAGAAGAGCGTGTCCGCAGCTTCAGTAGTACCTCCTCAGATTTGGCCAGAGCGTCAGGGCCCACATCCCTTCCACTTGTCTCGCCATTTGCAAGCAAGAGCCCAGCCACAATAGATGTGAATCCAATCTTTGCCTCAGTGGATAAGTCGGACACCACATCTGTGGAGAGTGCCCAGGCTTCCCTGTCCAGGCTCAGCCAAAGCTGGAAGGACTCAGAGCCAGACTTGGTGGAAATGAAGTCATTTTCACAGTGGCCTCAGGAATCAGATGATCGTCTGACCAACCCTGATCTATCAGACCCTAGCAGGACAGAAGGGGAGACGCAGATGGCCTCGGCAGGTCCTTTAGAGAAGGATTTGTCATCATCAGTCTCAGAGAACAGCAGGCAGGGGCTAGACTGGGTGAGCATCAGTGATAGGGACAGTCCATCAGATGCCAGACTTAGTCTTGATAATGACCCCCGAGGGTCCCTCTCAGACCCTGATCAGCTACCAGCACAGCAAGGGGTACCTTCCTTGGACGAGTCACTGCAGAGCATGGTGCAAGCCCAGATGCAGAGCTTGGCAACCTCTAGTCACTGTGACGGCGATTCTTCATCACCACCAGGAGAAATTGTGTAGGCACGATCCGTAACCAGGAGGATTTTGCCAGACCCTATCCAGCACAGAGAGAAGTTTGCTAGCTTTACATGTAGATAACATAATCCACTTCTAGCTGCAGTTGAAATCTTTCAGAAACTGCCCGGCAGCAGAAAGGAAAATCCGTCAGACATCATTTAGCAGTGCGAGCAGTTCTTAGATCTCTTCCAAGACAAGGAGAAGTTGAAGTTCTTCCAACCGTAGCACAGCGTAATCATCTAGATCCCATCCACCGCCTGGAGAATCCTCTGATGCCCCTTCAACTTCTAGGTCAGAAACAAACTGTGCTGTAAAAATAAAGTTCACTGCTATATACTAATCCGATAAGACGCCCTTACTGCGGTGGCACCGCACTCACATGCACATGCTTCAGCTTGACGCACGCGTGCATTTGACAAATCACGACATCTTATTGTTTGAAGAGGTATGTAACGCACGCGTACCATCTGTCCCCGAGCATTGTGCCACCTCAGTAATAGCGTCTAATTCTAATGGTCGAATTACACTCTTTTACAAATACAAGAAAATGTTTCCTACATGTATGTGTTACTTGTCAGTCAAGCACAAGTTGATTGTATGTGATGGAGTCTTTCTTTCTGGATTTGCCACGTGTGTTCTGCAGCATGGCAGAGTTCAAAGGAATGTCAGCCTGTTGTTGCAATACAGAATTGGTAGTGTCCACATATATGACATTGTTAAAGTGCAGCATGTGAAGATGACCCAGGGGACTGGGGGAATGCATCTCCCGAAGGTATCTCAGTGCCCCTCCCCCCCATGCCAGCAGCAGTGGGTACAATTTGGTCAAGAGTCACAGCGAAATCAAACGGCCCTCCCTGAATCATGGGCTGCCCCCCCCATCCTTAGTCCTTTTTCAGCAGATCTGGCCACATGCTTTGTGTAAATAGCGATTTGGTTGCAGGCCAGTAAATAAACTGCCGTAGACCACGGTAAAAACAAATGCTCTCCTATAAAACCTGGTGGGGACAACTCTTTAGGGTGTTTGAAACTCGTAAGAGCAAAATTTTATTTGTTCATTTTTATTTATGGTAATCCACTGACACTTTGGGAAAAAAGATTTTCCTCCAACACGACCGCCCCTGAAAGTTGTCGTGAGACCTATCCTCATTGTGAAAAATGATGCCCGCACCCCACTGATGAATTAGGCCTCTCTAAGAGCCAAATTTCATCCATTTTTCGCACAATTAGAAGCTTCCATTCCTGCCCGGAATTGTTACAAAGCAACAAGCTCATGGGCCAGAAAATTCTGTCATAGCAGGGGACTTGAGAGTGGGCACACTGTGAGTTGGTTCGTGTAGGCTATCACTGGCCTGGAGCCACGGACAGCTTGATGCAAGATTCTGAAGATTTTCCCCTGTACCAGGATACCATGAAACTTGGGGCATGATTGGTTCGGTAAAAGTCTAACCGTTGTGTGAATTCCGAAACTCTACCCTCTCTATCTTTTTGGTCGGACAATGTCTTAATCTAGTTGGCTTAGCGCATTAACGAGATTACAGTGATGTCTTTTTTGGAACATTTGATGAGACTCTGCAAAGTTTGTGCCAAATTTACCTATTTCTCTTCAAAACCTGACATGCCCATGTTCCTTTTTAAGTCACATTCGACGGTGGAATATAGTAAGTGTTAGAGCAGGTATTGTAAGCACGTCTTGTGCTGAGTTAATGGAGGAAAAATCATTTATTTTCGCGATGCTGAATGTGAGCTTGAAGCAAATTCTATTTTTTGGTTTTAAAAGGATTTTTAGCAAATTGAAGCTGCAGTATAGTATTTAAAAGGAAAATTTTTAATTTATTACCCTAAATCTATGAGATTTTCCTACGTGTTCATTGTCATTTAGAAGAACCATATTTAAAGGCCCGGCCATTTTATAAGAAACTTCGATTGCAACTGGTCTTTTATGATGTTTCTTCTCCAACAAACGACTCCAGAAACTATCGATATTTTGTTGACTAAAAACGAATAAAGGGTTTCCAACATCCTAGCAACGTGTATTTTACTGAAATTCAAATAGGAACTCAAAAACTCGGTGAATTAGGTTTGGAAGCCTGCAAACAGTTTGCGTTAAAAAAGTTTGACTGTGCCGCGTTTTTATCCAGGATATCGTAATATGGACGAAGGTGGATTTATATCTGTGCATTAAAACCAGCGCATTGACCGGTTAGCAACTCTGCTTGGTTTCCTCAAAAGAGGTTACTTTTTAGTCAGGGTTTAGTGAATTTTGACTTCTCTCTTTGGATGTCAAGTTCGGAACGATTTACTTTTGGCGGTTGGCCCAAGCGCTCCTCTGTCTGCCCTTTTAAAACACTCTTATGCGCTTAATTATATATATATATATCAAGTATACTTGGCTTGTTCTGGCACAGTGACTGTGGAAGACGCAAACCAAAAGTTTAATTATCAGGCATATCATCATGATGCACCGAACACTGAGGCGTTGACAAAATTGCTAATTGAAATAGTGTAACAGGTTGAGTTATTGCAAAATAGTCACATGTCGTATACGGGACACGCATGCACGTTCTCGTTCTAAGAATTTCCAAGCTATTCAAATTGTTTCAGTTTAGAATTCTTGAATACGATGACCACATTTAGGCTTCATGTATTAGTCGTCATTCCCTCACTGTACTATTTGAGAAAGATCAGATTTTATTCCTAATTCGGTTGCCTATATACATGTATATCTTATTTATTTCTCTTGCAACAAATTAAAAGGAGATATCTGTTTTATAGTTTATTATCTTTGCTATATTTGAGTTGTATTCGAATATCCTGTATCTGTTTACATGTCATTGTGTTTTCAGTTATCTTCGTTTTCCCATTTTATCACCACATTATTAGAGGCTGATATATTGTGTTGTACTTATTTGTTAGACCCAGTTGAATGCGATTGTTCTACATACTTTCCAATGACAGTCTACAGGGCCTAGCAGTTTTAAAGTCTCTAAAATGGGGGGGGGGGGTTGAAGTTTAAAGCTTATGTCAGTATCCCTTTAACGGAAGTACTGCTCAACGTTATCACACACCATCGGAAACAAATTCAATGGACGACAAATTAATTGTCATGTCTCAATTTAGCGCAGAAAACCAAGGTTTTGTGTGGTGGGGCATTGTAGTGCTCCAAAATTAGTGGTTAGAGTCAATCGCGGGTCATATTTCACGGAGAACACGTCGCTTTGAATGAAAGAACCCGCAAAATATTTCGCCAACAAAGTCATCTACTGAGAATTTGGCTATGGCGGAAGAGACAAGGGTGTTTTTTCCCCCTGCATTGACGAGGGTCGAAGCCTTCCTCCATGGTCAAAGCGAGTCGAGCCGTGTGTCAATACTGTCGTGCCCTTCTTTTTTAATTCAGTCGCAGACCACAAAAGTGTAATGAAGCGGTCAGCAGTGATCCGCGTATTGGCACTGAGTTCATGACACATTCCCAAATTAAATAGCGTGCTTTGTTAGGGGATTTTGCTCTGCCGGAATCGTTGTCATGTTTGTTGCACTCGCTGTGAACTTATCCCACGCTGGGGATCGCTTTGATAACTTGGTCCCTTCAGGGTACGGCACTGAAGTAGGATTTGGACAGTTATTCACGAATGCGTGCAAAAAAAGATGGCATTGCTCTTTCCGATGAGTTGGTCGTCTCGTTATACGCCAATGGACCGGATTTTTTTTCCGAAAGCAAGACATTTCCCCGCCCGGTCGGTTCCTAGTAACTCTTTTGAGAAGCGCGGTGCGTATTTATACTCTCTGGTCATGTCACACTTTCCTTCACCAAATGGATCGTGACTAGCGATTCTTTTTTTCTGTTGCCAGAAATCCACACAACCGTGCACCGAGGAAATAATTTGTCTCGCCCCGAATACTCCCAAAATGATGAAAACATCTCAGAAATATTTATTTTTATAGAGGAATTGAGATTTTCCAAAAAAATCACAATTCATGGTTTGAAACAGTTCTCACACTACCACAGTTTTTGGACTTGAAAGCCGCAGTCACAGCAGAAGCGTTTAATTTGCAGGGGGTTTTAGGGAAAGGATGTTACAAGCATGCATGGTTCAGAATAACTAATAAACGATAAAACATGTTGTTAAATTCGATCAACCTGGAGGATATTTTTACAGTAGTGGGTGTAGCCAAGAGCTACTTTAAGCATGCTGTTGCTGAACAACAAAATAAAATTTGAGATGTATTTATATATTCCACGCAGAATGATAAAAATAGCGCCAAATTAGCAAACACGAAACCAACTTTTGAGATTACCTTTTCTGACTTTTTAGACATGGAAAGCAGATATATCAAGTGTGATTTTGAAAATGGATATTCATTGAAGGTTATTCGCAATCCAAAAATTTGGGATAGGGAATTATTTGTTCTTGCCACATGAGTGAAAGTTGTGGTTTATTGTAAGGAATCTTGTATAAAGTCTTGAAGAATTGTACTTTTGGTTTCTGAGAAAGATGATATGCCGTAAATAAACCCAGTTGCATAGACTTCGATGACACCCAGAATGCCTGCCAGTATTTGAAATTATTGTTGGACAGAACTTGTACATATTTAAAAATTATGTTGTTGGTTCAAATTATGGAAATGTGTAGGCCTGTGTGCTAATCTATGTGAGTTGACGATGAAAATAAAGATTTGTAGTTCATATTGGCTTCGACATTTGTTAGGTTGTTTAAATGTAACTGAAGTGTCAGTGACTGCTGTAGTGTTGTCTATCTTTGAAATGCAGACCTACCAAGTATTACGCCTATGGCTTGAGAGTCACGCCGCGCCCCAGCGCCTCCTCTTGCGCTCACGCCGTTCAACAGTCATTTTCTCACGCCGGCCGCCGCAAAAACAAAAAAGCAAAACAAAAAAACACCGCGGTTCGCGTACATCGATCATGAAGTTGCCCACACATCAACTTCATAGGAGTAAGTTTAACTCTGTCTTAATTCTCTTATTGTTGGGTCCAGAGGATACGGACCTTACAAAGAACAACTATTTGCTATTAACGAAAACTCAACAGTGACCTCCCAATATTGGGCCATCCGCTAGGTCATGGCAGTCGTACATTCTAGACTCTTTCACCCTTAACCAAAGTTTGGGCAAAAATGCCCCAAATGATATATCTTTCGGGGCCATCTTCTATGATATATCCGTAAGAATTATGCGAGGAAACTTTCATCACAAGTATTAGCAAGAATGCACAATGTCAAACCCCAAAATGAAAAAGATGCCTACTGTGTGTGTGTGGGGGGGGTGAAACATTGGGCCATATTGGGGTAAATTCTGGTCCGACCCCCACCCCGACAATCCTTGGTCACCTCTGGTGAAGGGCGTTTTTATTTATTTTTTTTTTCTGTGGGGGGTGGGGAGTTTCTACTCTAAAGCATCCAGGTAAGTTGGCTAGCCCAACCTCGGAAATGGTGTGAAGTTGTAACACATTTCATTTTTTTTTCATTTCTTCATGGAGAAGTTAAAACACGAAATTGTGGGAATAACTGAGAAAACATGACGAGAAAGGATCGCACATCGTATTCCAGAGTCCCTCCCCGTGTTTTGAACTATTTTGGCCGCGCCATTCAAGACGAGGAATGCTTGGATTCTCGGCTTGTTGGATGCTTGCCAAAAAAAAGCGCAAGCAACAAAAGCGCACAGTTTGAGGTCGTGGTATGGGCCGGCTAGCTTAATGACAGCTTGAATTCAATGGCGGGGCGTCTTGTTTTGGGTGGAACTATACAGGCTGGGAAGATGACGCACATGGCGGTCAAGGAATTGCTTGGAATTGGGAACCAGAATGGAGGAACCAATGGACTTGGACTGGCACAAGGAAATTTTATGGAATAGAACTGAGTTGGTCCACTGGGAAAGAGATGCCGATTTTCGCTGTTTCATCGGTACGTCGAGTCTGGGGACATCTGACTCCCACGAGGACGGGAGAGTAGGCGGTTGGCTTGAACTGTTCCATCATGGCGTCATCCTCGGGAGTTGCATCGCTGACCACTTCAGAGGCCACAAGCGCAAGGTAAGCTGTGAATTCACACCACTGTTTCCTTATTACAAATCCTGTTCCCGTTCAGTCCGTGACGCACGACTGACCTCGCTACTACTCTCTCCCCGAGCGTTCAAATTGTGGTTCGCGTTTATTGGCGTGTCCCTGTCGTTGCGAGCCCATTTCTCGGAACACTACCAATACCATTTACCAATGATTTCCAGAAAACGGTCTCCGAGGTTTTTAGTGCGGTTTCACCGTTCAAGCAGCTTGAAGTGACCACGTTTCGCACGTTTGGGGCCCAGCGGGATACGACCAGGGATGCGGGCACACCGCCAAATTGCGTATAGGCTATATTTTTTTTTTTATAGTCGATCCACCTCGGTCCAGTCTCGGTTAGATCGGATAGAAAAAATAAATTAATAATCGAAATGCTTACGCCAGGTCCGGAGGAGAGCGGCGTGTTCGGTTATGCTTCTGCGAATTCGACAATTTGATCTCGGCGTAAACATCAGACATTCCGATGATTGCAAGCAATGAAGTGAGAGGCCAGCTCGAGCTGACACCATCCAGACCCGTATCGCTTACCGACTTAACTCTGAAAAGAGAAGTATTCAAATACATGTAACTTCAGAAATTTCTATATTTACCTACGGTGTTCGAATGTGCCCAGTATTAAACGTAGTAGATGAAATATTGTAACTAGTAGGCTTAATGTTGGCAAACGTGCAGCCAAACATGTTGCGCAGTTTTGATCAATTTTCCTTCCTAATGTTACCGAATTGCCCGTTTCAACCATATGTGTTTGCCAGATAACATCCTAGGGTCGCGTGGGTCAGTTTTAACCGTCAGGTAGAAACAGTTACCTGTGGTACCCTTTCATTCATCATCAACGATTGATGGAACAGCTGTCTAACTCTAAATAAACTCCCCAAATGTTGAAACATAATTTTTTAGTCTTCATTCGACGATATTACTTGAGATAGGTTGTGAATGGAAGGCCCGATTATTGGGCGCTTAAAATACCGATAACAGAACCGCTCTGATAAGTTGCCTATAGTGTATTGGTAGCCATAATTGTCAGAAATATTACGATTGGTTGGTGTATACCTCAAAGTAGGTCTTTCACCATCTGTGCTTTCAAAGAAGATATTTTATTGAGTATTTTGAATTTTATTGTTTATTATTTGGTTTGATGACAACTGTGGGAGAGTTTTAGTACTTCATGTATTAGTATTTTGCTTTTGTACTGAGAGCCATTCATAATTTTACACGCAACTCCATGGGGATATAGACCCGCATAGTCTATATAGCGGATTGAAATCACTTGTTTTCAGAATACTTAGAAACTTCAGACAGTTGTTTCTTTTTTGGTAGTTTCCAGAGTCTGATGTAAAAATCACTCTGAATTCACATTTTTCATTCTTAGATGTTACTGTCGAATCAACAAACTTTGCACACTATATTGTATCGTATTTTCTCCGAACGATCCTGCTGCACAGCCTATCATACTATCGGAAATGTTTCAGGACATCTCCAGAATCATTCTTCAAAAACACATCGGATGGAGGCGTGATTCAAACCCACCAGATGCAACCTTTAACGAAGTTGTAATGATAGAAAAATGTACTTCTTACAAAAGCTCGCATGGATGTGTCAAAATTCAATGCGGTTTTGTTTTGACATGATCACTTTTGGAGCCCATTTTCTTTTGAATTAAACCACATTAGTTTGGCCCTCTTTCAGCTAATAATGCATACACAAAATAAAATCCGCTAATAATGCATACACAAAATAAAATCCGCCCATAGCATCGATGGCAGAACAAGAACGTGGCCTTTTGCGCAGCCTCTGCCCACCACAATCGCACATTTGAGACCTGTAACTTTAGAAAGTTGTTCAGGTTAAAAGCACATCACTTTTTACTACGAAAAACAATTAGAGTCTTCCTGTCTGTGTTTTTTTTTGGGGGGGGGGTTGGGGGAGGGGTGTTTCTTTTTCTGTGTCTATATCTCATTGACTTTCGAAGTTTTTCCTTCCGTCTTTTTTTTTCTTGGAGGATTGTGGAAAACAGAGAATCGAACCACTCCCATTCCCCAAAAAATTCTTGTTCCTGAAAATACAGTATCCAAGAAATCCGGTAAGCACAATATTAATGTCTCGACTGTATCCAGTCAGGTGTAAAAGAATGAGTTTACGGGAGTCTGTCGTCGACCTAAAACATTCACTCCGGTGCAAAAATTATGTTGCTTTTTTTAAGAAATCAATTTCTGACCTTTCTGTTCAAATTTCCACCGAGTGGAAGAACAGATCCGGGTTAAAGAATAATCGCTCGCGCAACACGGTGACAACATTAAGTTAAACATTTTTTGTATCCGCATAACACACCTGGGCCCATGCATGACTGGCTTTCCGCTAAAAGTGGAACAGGTTTCCCCAACCGGGTCCACTTTTAGCGGTATCGGATTGGCCATTAATCACATAACTTTGCCTCATCATGACACGCAATGGTATCCATGGCGACATGTCATGTGTGGCATTTTTTAGAGATCGTTCAAATTCGGACCGAGGTAAGAGACAGTCATCCGTATCGAGACTATTATTATTTCTTTATGAAAGGTGGAGTCGGGCTTTTCTTTGACGGAGAGGACCCAAACTATTTTTGTTTGCTAGAGGGACAGCCCCTGAGCCGCAGGATGAAAAGCAAGTTGTATTGTTGTTTGGTATATTTTCCCCTGAGAATAATGAAATGACTACTTACACTTTGGCGGCAAATTCAAAGTTTTGCGGATTTTCCGTGACATTTAGGAGTAATATGAATTACTAAGAACGCCATCACCTGAACATTCATTTGCTGCGTTAATTGTTCGTGCCCAGCAGGTTGTCTGCTTATGAATGTTTGTCACCTAGTGTGTCGTCAGTTCATTGGAATCAGTACGTCATGGACTCTTCATGGGTCATTCTCTCCACAACCTTTGTTCAATTGAGACAACTCTTAATCGATCATGGCAGGAATAACAGTTGGGTGGTTTATTTTCAAGTTCTTGGTTCGAGACTGTACCTGTAACACCTTTTAAAGAAAACCATGGGACGTGGAACAGCGTTTCCTTAACGTAATGGCTATTTGAATGTTACTTGAATCGGCAGTTTTTTGTTTTCACGAATTAAGAATCAATTCGATTGTTTTTCTCGTTGCTTCGATGTGTTTTCCGCTGTCATTTTGTAGTTATTATATGACTCATTTAGTTTTCATTTGAGACAAATGGGACGTTGTAATAGTGTCTTTAGACGCAACCTGTATTGAAGATCAACATCCCGGATTGTACAAAGTGTGGAACAATATAGAATCATTTGTAAGACGGTAACTGGTATTTCAGAAGTATTAGGTTTGGTGGCTGGTACTGTAAAAGTGAAGGTATGAACGCCATTGGTATATTACAAGACCATTTACATATGAAATTGATATTATAATGAGTGTAGGGAAAAGTGCGGGAGAAGTCGTGTCGTTTTCACATTAATTCCATTAATCAAAGTGGAATTCGGGCGTTTTTCTTCTTACATTATGTGTCATCGTGCCAACTCTATCCAGTACGTGTTGAGTCATCAATCCATTCATGCTTAATACTTTATTCAAATCGATTTGAAAATAAGTTACTTATTATCCAAAATAATTGATGGCCACGTAGTTACAGCCCCTCAGACGTTCCGCAACGCCCACATGCGACTTCCTTCACTCTTTGTCGTGATTAATCGCAGATGGTAACCATGGCAACTGCGATATCATTGACTGGAGGTGGATATTTTTATAGTGGAAGTGGACGCCATTTGCACTGCATCCACGCGTGGTTTTTCCCCGTTCTTTATTTTTGCGGTTTGGCCTTTCCTGTCGCTAGTGCTTGTGATGGGACCGGCCTATGCTCATTGTACTGCGTTGGAAATTCCTTTCCGCGAAACTGAATTGATGCAATTTGCGAATGACGTCAAGGTGTGGACTGCGGAATGACCCCCCCCCCCCACACACACACACCCTTGGACTTTGGTTTGTGCTGGGGCGGTGGTGCGTGTTTGGCCACAGCAAGTCCCAGCCGTCAAGTATTTCTGTTTAGCGGCTCGATTCTCCTTGCCACGGGCGGGTTGGCCCTTCTCTGACGTGCACAATGACTGCAATCCCATCGATATTGGTTGGAGAGAAGCTCACGGCCTGGCTTGATAAATTCCACTCTCCTCCCAAACTCTGGGTGTATACACAGTGAACCCATCATCTCAGTGTGCTCAGTGCCCAAGTTATTTCCATCTTCGGCCTTGAGGAAATTAAAACACTTTACCCACTCTTAAAACAAAACTTTGCAAATTACATGTACCTTGTTAAAGCAGGTGCTTTATATCATATGATCTGTGACATAAAACAAAGGAAAACAACGACTACAATTGACCTCGTAGAAACACGACTTTGTACATGTATTATCAGTGCTAGTCTTTGTGTGTGTGTTCGACTGTGCTTACTGAAAAAGTTTAACGTCATTGACTTGACATAGGAAGGACGGGCTCAAATGATAGCACGAGATATTCTGCCTTTCCGTATTTTGTGGGCTTACTCTTTCCATGGAGGAAAGTAGACACCTTCTGTCATCGGTTTCTAGTTTAATTGTTAATTTCTCTCTCGCCGTCTTTGTGTATATTTATTCTGTGTGTGCTGTCGGCTATATAGGGTCTTGCTATTCATCTAAACACTTCAGTATTCATATTTGACATTATTATGTATTGCATTTTTTTTTAAAATGCTGTAAATGCTTGTGGAAGCATCGAGAAAGATGTGATACCGAATTGAAAAAAAAGTAGTAGCCGTTTTCTTGTCGTCGCCACTTAAAATAGAAACACAACAAAACAGTAGCAGAAACTGCACGTGTGATAGAGTGGTCTTGATATCATGAGAGTTTTGCGTGGTGCTAAATCAGATTTTCATGTAAGGGCCATCACGGTGTTATATGATGTAACTCACGTCAGACACCGTTATCATTTAGTAGCTTTGACCGACTGCAACAGTTTTCAGTCGTTTTCCCATATTTGATACACTCAATTTCCGTAAATAACTGTCCATTCGCTTTGCATTCAGACATATGTGCGTCACAAGACTCTTTATACTCAGTCGCGAAGTGTATCCCCGGCTAGGAACACCAGATTATTTTAAACCTCCCTCGGGTACCTCATCGTCCAAAAACATCTACGGCTCTTGCTCAAAGTTGATCGCTTGAAGTCAGATCTTAGAATTTAAGTCTCAGTGTGACTAGCGTGATCCACTGTATATTTGTGAAATTAATATTAATATATTAATACCGATGGAAATGTCTACAATATACAGCTGACCCCTGTCAAGAACGAATAATCAAAATGACTTCTGTGTCTTGTTAGCGAAGTAAAATTCCATAGCATGGCAATGACCTCGTTTGTGAGCTACATGTATAGTGCGCACGAAGCACACATCGGACGTACATGTACTAATGTACATGTACAATACATATAGCGCACGGGGGATTGTTGGGACATGGGATTGACGCCCGCAGGAAGTAAATCTGCAGAAGGTACAAGGTCGCCCATTTCGGGGAAAATGACGATAACGGCCGGCCACTGACCATGGTCAGCCAAATAACACGGGCTTTAGGACATTCCAGCAGTAAATTGGCACGGGGGATTTGTGAGTAAAGTAAGTGGGTGGGACCGTGGAACACACTTGAAACAATTTCCAACTTTATTTCTACGACACGGACCAAAAAAAAGGAGCAATTTACGTTTACACTTTTTTATGTAGCGTTTGGTCAACGGATGCATTCCAATTGCTTCTTTTGTCGGGATTCTTTCGTAAGTCCAGCCCATATCATTCTGCTGATCCGAACAACAGAAATTGTTGTAGTGTTGGGTGCCTTGGTTTTTGTGAGAGCGCTCTATTAACTGCCGCGTGATGTTGCAAACCAGAATGACGAGCAATGCCCCCCATTGGTTTGGGCAATTTAAAACCCTTAACGAGTAATTAATCGGTATGGAAATTGTATCATTCGATAGTACATTTTAAGTCAAAGTTTACTTATTGAAAAGATTGGGTCCTGCATTCTAAAATGCACACGCACAGAAGGACACCCTGCCAAACTTTAAACTACAAAAAGTCACAGTTCAGACAAGGACAAAATCATATCACGTGACCTCTTACTCGTTTATTTCACCATCAACACACTGACACCTTTCTTTGCAATTTTGGAACGACTATATTGCACTTGTGAATTCAACATTTCATAAAAAAAACACTAGCGATTAGGTACACCTGCAAAATTTGTATATAACTTTGTACTCTCCTCATACGCTGTATAAATATAATAACTGTACATAATATATACATTATTTACATATTCATAAGCCGGCATTTAACTTGCAGTTTTTTAAAATAGTTACAGGATAAAAGCCTCCCCTTTCACGGCTAACTAAAGCTAGTGATGTCCGTCTGTGAAGCATTCCGATTGGACCGTTAACCCACCACTCTTTTGCCTCGCGGTGAGTTCACTGCTCTCTGCTGAATTGGTAAACATTTCTAGGAATTAATCTGCGAATAAAAACGCACAAAGTTGGCGACAAACTAATTTTCAGTGATGTACACGTGTGGTAATTCCCGGAAAGTTTATAAATTTCTCTTTTTTGATTAAGTACATGTACACAACCATTGTGTGTGAGGTTTTACATTTCATTGAAAAGTTACTGAAGTATTGCAAACTTACAAAACAGCACAAGTACTTGTAATTTTAAAGACTGAACTTTCACACCATCAATCGTTCAACCGTATCTCCCGTTTGCACGACCACCTAAATGACTAACAGACCTTATATTAGAAGAGACCGACCTAGGATGTGGCGTAGACTTAGTTATACATATATGTATACTAAATTTATAACGACAGAAAATGTTCCATAAATATTTGCTGCATGTCGCGGGCAGCATGTCCGCGAATCCGGCTACGCTGCTTACACTGCAATCTGACGTTAGTCATGCCTCAAATCAATCAAATACTTATGGGCCTACAGCTTTCCAGGTATTGGACAGTGGGACTCGAAACCACCAAGGACGGTGCACACGAATCTGCGTGTCTGAACCCACAACGCACTGCAGGTGCGCGATCAGATTATGCTCGCCTGCTCGCTAGTTGCATATTCGAAGCACTTCCCGCATGCCTAGCCGTTCGCGACACGGACCGCCAAGCAATTCGCATTCATCATGCCACGGACTTCCAGGAACTCATTTCCATCATCGCGGTTGTAATGGCAACGCTGTACGCGAGCTGTGTGTGTGTGCCCCTGTCTGGCTATAGCAGTGAGAACCATATCAATTAATTATCGTCACAACAGATTTACTTTACCAAGTACCTGAGGAATACTCTTCAAATCAAAGCCATATGACCAACATAATAACACGCCTTGAATGAGGAGAGTAGAATTGAGCCAGACTTACATATGTCTCTGAACAACCTTGACTTTAGAGGAGACAATTTGTACATTTTAGACATGTTATCTTCTTGATTAATTTGCGACAAGGATATTGCCTATTTTCTACCTTTCCATTTTCTTGTTCACAAGTGCTCCATTGTTTTGTTATCGGGTACAAACCTCAGTTTCGGTTAATAAGGCAAGTATAATATGCCCTGAAAAATACAGATAATTTATGGCTTATCCAAAATCTGCAAATTCACACTAGTCTTTCCTGTGAGTGCGGCGGTCTATATAAACACAGGATATCTTTTGGGGCCGTATAGCTTCACAGGAAATACTTCTGATTACAATGTTTTTCTCCGGTTAAGAGGAACTCATAAAAAAGTTCAAGGGCGAGTGCACAGCGCAAACAGACCCTTAATGTGGCGTTAAAGGAACACGGCCATTATTTAAACGGTGAAACATCTCTTTTGCTCAGTAGTAGACTCACGCACACAAGTTCATCCCGACCAAAAGATTGCCACGTGTGCACTATTTTACATCAGTGATTTTTTTAATCCAGACAGAATAACCTGACTTTTCAAATGAATGAGTTGCACCGTGCCTACCAGTTACAGATTAGAAACGTATTACTAAGTGCATTGCTAATGTGTTAACGATTCTGGCGTTTTTTTCCGAGTGCATTCAAGCACTACTGTATATCTTATATCAAAAATCAAATGAGTCTATATTCTTTACTTTTAAACGGAAATTTAAAAAAGAACAGTGTTCTTTGTGGGCGAGCATGAAAACTACTGAACTCTAGAGACAGGTCACAACTTGTCCACTGAACCCTGTAAGTTGAAAACCGCAGAGAGTGAGGAGCCATTCTTTGAAGGACAGTCCCTCATCTACTTCAAAAAGGCCTACAGGAAGTGTCTCATTGTTTGCGGTGACCCTCCTGGGCCTCGGGAGCTTACAACACATTCATATTGTCGACAACGAGCCGCGGCCATTTTCGTCTCAACCTTTATAGCTCGTAAACCCTTTGCTTTTGTGACCAGGCACTAGGCGTCCTTCTTAACAAAAGAAATGAAAGAAACGTTACGTAAGGGGCAGATAATGCTACTCCAAAAATGCACAGAGGGCCATTGTGTTTTTCCCAGTAACACAAAAAAAGGAGAAAATTATCCATTGCTCATCTATTGGATTTTGAAGCTAATGAGGATACATACATGTACCTTCTCCAGTGGGTGTACAACAAACAGCAATTTTTACAAAATTATTTCACCTTTTTTCTCTCTGAATCGCGAGGGATGTGAACTGGTACATACCATTGTGACGAAATTCAATCAAAAACGAGGAAAAACAGAATGCCCCGGATCCGACACGTTTACCCTCAACATTATATCCGTATTACGTAGACATTAGGTGATTTATCAGAAACACCCGAATGCAAATGACGGAAATTAATTTTCAGATATGTCGGGCTTTCCCAGAAAACTACCCGGCCATTTTCACATATATATTAACCCTTAATTCCACGCCTTCCTAACTAGCGCATGAGTTATTTCAGGCTTAAAACTCGACCTTCAGTCTTTGCAAACAATGGACTTTGGTCTTTTTTCCCAGCAATATTATGCGCAGAGAGTTTCATTTGAACATCCTGGTGCTTTGTTACTACAATACAAAGTTGTTAGCTTAACAGGACCCTGCTGTCATTATATTTCGATATAAAGCAAATCGAAACTACTTTGTGAAGTGTCAGTCTGACACGTCTGAAGTAGACGTATATTAACCCATGATTAAACCGTACCTTATGTCACTATGGCAGGAGAAACAATAAACTACAAAGATTTAATTGACCAATCTAAGTTCCAAGCGAACCTCCCGTATAACTCCACACCAAGTACCGAGGAGCCAGAATGCTGATTCAAAATCCACTGTCACTAACCATGGAGGTAGATAACAGTTTGAACTAACCAACTGTTTCAAATAAGCTGGTCCAGTAAACACTTGGTGCAAGTTTTCGACAGGCGACTTGAAGCTTTGTTGGTATGGTTTCACACTGTAGGTGATCGTGCTCATTTCTAGGAACGGAAAATAGTGGGTGACTGTTTGCAAGTGAAAGATATTTTTTACTCAGAAAATAAGTTCAGAAATCTTTGTTGACAGACCGATTAAATCCTTGTACAACATGTAATCAGTCAATTTGAAGACCAAAAAACCCCCTTTTCAGTACAAATTTTGATTAAAACCAACACAGGATCTGTTTGATATGCAAAAGATCATTACGAAATGTAAGGCACGTTCAATTGACCCTTTGAATTGCGTATGTGGTTGGGAACACACACGTGCAAGTAAACAGGATGTTGGAAGCGGTTAGTTTTTCTCCTTACTAGCTCCAAAGTTGACCGGTCAGCCCGTCACCCCGTTCAAGCTGCGGTTAACAGCAGACAGCAAGCAGGGGTCACGTAGCCACATGGTGAAGGGGTAAGGCCGCAGGGGTGGAGGCAAACACGCAGCGGGCCGTGGACTTGATCCCGACTTTCTTGACTTTCAAGTAGGCCGTTCCACTAATGAATGCACCCATGTTTCCATAGTCACAACCCGGGAGCCGCTGTTCCATCAAAGAAATGACGCGTCGGCGCTTAGGGAAGGAACCTTGTCCTGCCACCTGCAACGTTCCTTTAAGATGTGTTCCTTCGTTTGCGGAAGGAATCTCTACACAGCAAATGTCATAGGGATTCCCTGTAAGCATCATCATTGATCGAAGGGGTACTGCTTCAGATATCCCTTCAGTTTGCCGGGCAAGGGCAGGTCTGCCTGGTGTCGAGGCTCTACATAGCGGTTCAGCGAAACTCGACACAGATGCTGCAAGCTGGGCACTTGCGACCGTAAAGGCTTAATGATCTGAGCGGCAATGGCTCTCCGTCCGGACGGCTCTCGCCAGACCAGCTGACCGGCGGTGTTGTTTTTCTGGTTGCCGTCCTCTATGCTCTTCTGGAGCTGTTCCTTTTCGTCTTTTTGGCCCATCCTGGGCATGTAGTAGTGTAAGAGTTTGACGACACAGTCGAAGCTGGGTGCGCACCTTCGGAGCTCCTCCTCCGAATCCAGCGTGAACTTGCCATACTCGTACTCGATCCGCACGCTGGTGGTACCCATCGGTGTCTTGACGCTGAGCGAGTACAGGTAATTCGGTTTGGAGCTGTCCCTCACAAGGAAAGTTCCGACGTCGCAGTGTTTAAGTTTTCGTTTGGCTTCGACGAAGGTCATGGCGCCGTGGTACCAACCCGACGTGTGCAAGGTGTTTACGGCTAGTCGTAGACGCTCTAGATCGTCTGCTGTACTTCTTGGGGTCCTGGTCGTGCCACTACACGTGGAGACCAGAGAGTTCTGGTAGTGATGGTGAGACATAGTGCCGGGCGGCATCGGGGCCCGTGCGGCGCACCCTGGCTTGTCACACAGTACTCTATTGACACAGACCGGCGACCGAATCCCCCCGCACATCAACGTCGAGAAAACGATCAGCGGAACCAGAGAAATCTCAAGCAATATTCTCTCTTCGACTCGCCTCGGAGAAGGCAACTGACGATATGAGCCCTACTGGAGAGCTCTCCACTGCTCCTGAATGATCAGGCCTCCCTTACGTGTGTGCGCACAGACCTATTACAGCGCCCCGCACCGCAAGCCGTGATTTCCAAGAATTCGAAGGTCTTAGAATTTCCTCCTCAGATAATGAGCTCAGCGTCAACGGTTCGCAAGCACCACGCCACACGGAGCAAGCCAGCTGCAAGTCAGCCACACACTTTCACACTCCACAACACAGACGTGAACTCGTACACAGCATGAATATCACACAAGTTGTCAGTGTCCTGATGTTCGTACTACTGCAGCTTCAGAAAATTCCGTTTTCATTTATATCCAATTGCATTCCGAATCGTGAGCAATACATGTAATACCACTTCCCTTTTCGCAGTACCAGCGCTAACTCACCCGACCTTGTGGTGAACTACCCTTTGTCCACGTACGTACATGTACGTTCAACTACTACCTTCGTAACGAGTAAACCATTCATATTTTTCCAGGCACTACCGATTAGTCATTACCATAAATCCATACTAAAATTACATTGCAACCTTACATGCGCGGCACATGCAGCGTGACCGTGGGTTCTTTCCCAAACCATTTTAGCGCGGGGGGATTCAACTGCAGGTGGGGATATGTGAGCAGTCAGTTAACATTAAGCCCTTACTTTTTTGGAGATCTGTCATTTTTTTTGCCTATTATATGTTATGGGCTTGTTCATTGTGTCTTTTCTTCCTCAAACTTAGGAGTATTTTATCAATGTTTTGCGTTCATAATTTAGGTGTTACCCACTGCTTTTGACAATGGACTAGTCCACAGTCACCGCTCGTACTTACACACGCTAACTGCAGCGCAGGCGTGCTTGCATTGTTCCTGCCTCTCAACTGTATCTTGCAAATCCGCAATTCGCTGAAAGCCGGTCGCCGTTGCGATACGTTCAATCATCAATAGACTGGCTTCAGTCCGCCAGTCCAGCGCTGAGTAGGCCTCTATCATACCTTGTAAATTCTGCCCATTAATGGCTAATCCTCTGACTGAGATCAAGTTTCGAAATGGTTTGGCGTATCTAATGCATGCAAGGCTTGTCGTACCAATTATGTGATTTACCAATGTGATTGTAAAATGATAACCCTTTTCAGTGAACGACGAAATTTTTAACGACGAAACATGTGAGTGTTCTGTAGAATGTCAAGTACTTGAAGCACAGCGAGACGGGAACGTTGATCACGGGTCCGGTATGGAGAGAAAAAGGACTGCTTTCCTACTAAACGAAAAAATTAACCCACTCTCTGAGATTTTTTCCATTCCATTTGGAAATCCGTTTTATTTGGATTTACAATGATTGTTTCCCAGTGAAGTTTTGATTTATAACCGCTCTGGGTGGGGGGATATAATTTTTTCTATCAGCCAAAGAACTCTTTTTTGAAAGTGTTTTCCTTTTGAGAAAACCACTCCAGGTTCAGGTTTGTTTGATTTGTGGTTTGAGGAAAAATTAAGTGGAAAAAGTAGCTTTTGTATCCCTACCCTTTCCCCCATTCACTATAACCTCATCATTTTCTGAATAAGTCTACTTAGTGAATTCGAGTTACATGTATCACGCCTTTGCTCAGTACCCCAATAGGCGTAAATCCCACAGGGATGGGTCATTTGATCACCCTCCCCCTCTGTTGTGAAACAAAGATCGTACACTGACAGTGCTTCGAACTTTCCAGAAGCCAAAATGAAGAACGACACATGTATCGTTCTGATGTAGGTTTAACGCACTTAGACTGCCGATGTCATAATTTAAGAGCGTCAGAGGTGTTGCAGGGGGAGGGGCTGGGGCGCTTGCCGCCCCCCGGAAAAAATAGGGGAAAAGGACAAAAGGGGAAATTGCGAAAGAAACTGGTAAAACTATAAAATGGTACAAAAATAACCATTTCTTTTGGGAAAAAAACCTCAAAAGCTAACCCAAGCCGTCATTGATTATCATTTTTAGCCCGTGGGTGCTTAATTCCCCCCCCCCTTGGAAAAAGGTAGTGTGCCTCCCCCCGGACAAACTCCAGTGACACCCATAAACAGTGCCCCGGTTTAATGGGGTTTCCAGCTAACATGATTCCTCCCCCCTGTAATTTTGTAATTTTAGGACTTTTGGCCATCCCGCATCCCACAAGATTTTTGATCTGATATACCCACCATCCACACCCGCCGACACGGACTTAGGCCTACACCACTCCTGCTTCTCAAAAGTGACTGTACCAGACACATTTTTGTCAATACCATTTGAGTGTACGCTTACAGTTTTACTTGAATTGATTTCAATTGCACAATAATTATTTGCTTCGTGGTCATGCAAAGGTGTCTTCGCTCGAGGCGGGAGATTGGGGAAGTACGTGATGTACTTAGATTAGTACCGAAATGGCAGAGTTGCATTTCTATGAACAGGAGAGTTGCAGTTAACTTTTATGTAAATCGGTATCATGTAACTACATTAAAAGAAAAATCTCGAAAAGCGGGATTTTACCAATCTACTCGAATTTCCCAGAAGTGTGTGTAGGCTGTATCTGACGCAGATCTGGCACCATGCATGCAGTACTAGGCTAAAATACACGAAATCTCATTGGTGGTAATACTTGCAGAATACTCTTGCTTAGTGTGATCATGACAGTAAAGAACCTGCGCATTACAATTTTAATGCAGTTTTTGTAAGATGTTTTTAAAGTCCCATTCCATCTGATTTTCAATTTTATTACATAGACATATCAACGAGCATAGTTGATGCGGAAACCTTAGTGTTGCAGCTGTTTCTACACTGAAATTTGCTAGCATGTTTTTGCTTGTCGTAAGCCTTGTGTTAACATTGGCGATTCATTGCTGTTTGAGTTCAAGACAATAGACCAATGAGTAAAGTTTTCTCACAAATGTTTCCGATGAGCAAATTTTGGGATTCGCAATTTGCACAATCTACTAATGATTAGTGTCTTGCTGTAGTGACACCAGAGCAACAGCGCCTTAAGTTGTCGGGAAGTTAGATTTACGAGAAGACGAAAGTTGGAGAAATTCTGCTCCAAAGAGAAATTTACAACTATGTTAATCATAGAAACAGAACGTTGTCCGGTTGAAGGAGCATTTCTTGTAGAAACCGTGGTCGCCCGTTCTCACCTGCTGGTTGTGTGGTACTGATATTTACGCGAAGCTTTAGACAGAACTTGGGCAAATCCTGCCGACACCTGTAAACTGACCTTACTCGCAAGTCGGCCATATTGAATCGAAAGCGAAGTTAACTTATCTATTTGGGGAAGCTAAGAATAAATATGAAAGTAACCTTTAAAAATCCATCACAGATTAAGTTCATTTATGATCACGAATATGTGATTTGTGAATATGTGATCATGAATATGTGATTTATTATATCTGAATGTTTTAAGCAACATTTTAAAAAATGAAAGCCTTGAACCCCAAATATTATGGCAACACCCATTTCACAGATTTACAGATTTCATTGAATAAGATAGATTCGTGGAACATAATAAAAATGATTTCCTTGTGAATATTGTATAAGGTCTATTTGGATTTCCAAACTTTACGTTAAAATTTTCCCAATATGGGAATAGCACATTCTGTGAATTATTATTCCATTCGGTACCTCGTGGTACTAGTCACCGATCTGTTTTTACAAGTTTACTTACCAAGTGCCAAGCTTTCCCCGGCGAACCCAAACCTTCTATCACACTCCAAAGACAAAACTGTGTGGTACATGTAAAGTTTGTCACATACTCAGGGTTTGTATTGAAAATACGTGTACCTCGAAATTACCTTCTTCGTATTACTTGGGATTGATTAATCCACTAAACGCTTGCTGGGCGAATACGGCATTCAGTGGGGGTACTTTTTCGAATCGAGTGGCTTAAGGGGAGAGTGACCTCCTAGGGGGAGTTTGTTCCTATAGTTGCCCCCAGCTGAAATGTTATTGAATAATGAATGTATGCTGAACCCCCCCCCCTTAAATTGTGGGCATCCCTGGGTGCCCCTCCCCACCTGGCGCCAATGAACATGTGTTCCTCATGATGATTGAATTCAAAACAATTCAACCTCCTCGCCATAAAGTTGATTGATCAATATTGTTTAACCTGTTGGATATAAATCGTTCCATACGGAAACTGCTATTACTGCAGGTCCGGCGGGTGGGGGAAAGAGAGGGATCATCAGAAATGACGTCGTGATGGGCCCAAGTAGGCTTATTGCAGATCATGATAGAGAGAGTATCGCCAGTGTCAGACTTCGGAACCAAAATGGCTGTTCATTATGTATACGGTGTTTTTAATGCACTTCCCGGTTTTAGAAAGTTTGCAAACTACACGCTTTTTTCTATAGCCTCGTGGAATTGATTTTACGTCCTGTTGTTATCATATTTTATTCCTTCAGTTATATGTTTGATTTGATTTGAAATTGATTTGTGCTTGACTAGTCTCTGTGTTTTGGTAAGCATTTTTATTTTCACTTCAAATTCTTATTTATATACTTTATATGATTAATCTCATTTTAATGTCTAATGTGATTGTGGGTTTTTATGAGTTTGGGGGTTTTTATGAGTTTATGTAACCTTTTCCACAACTCGCGACTGACGTTTAAACAAATAAATATAATAATATAAACAGTTAAGTAACGGTTGTCGATGTTCACCATTTTGGTTCCAACAATTGCGACACTCATGTCGCAACTCTCCTATTGTAACATGCCTCGCCCCATCTGGTCCAGTTGGAGGCCAGTGTGAGTGTATGGCTCCGTATAGTTATAATCTGAAGGGTTTTTTCTCAGTTTTGCGGTGACTACATTGTGAAACCGACAGTGCGTGTTCTCTTCGAAATTGCCATTTGGTCGTGTAATTTTCACGTAACTCTCAGGGAAACCACAGAATGGGTTGTAACGCGAAAACCATATATCACTGGTCTTTGCTTTCGACCGTGGTTGTTGACGAGGCTGCTTGAATTCAGGAACATACGCAGTAACGATCATCATGGACAAATGAATCCTCAGATCGACAAAACGTTTTCTTGTGACAACGGTCTCAAACGGACCGAATGCCGAACGATTTCCACGAATTTGGTTTTGATTTTGCTCCAGAGAAGCTGCAAAAAGTGAACATTACAAACATATGTCCCTATAGTTTCTATTCTATTGTTTCCATTTATTTGGAGGGCTTTAGGGGCTGTAAGGGCGGGTATCGCTATATCCACATCCTTTTTTTTCTAGAAATTCACAATTTGATGCAAGTACACGAGAAATTGCAACCGCGAAATGCGTCGTTTGGCAGAGTTTTCATGGGGGCATGATAATAAACTGACTGTAGGGTACTAACACGAAGGAATTCTAAATGCACTGTGTACTCTATCACAAGGTTCAATGTTGTTTCAATGTTCGAACGTATGTATTGATTTGCAGAAGTAACCTGTTAGTTGCATCACTAACGCTAGGGCGGGTTTACCAAAGAACTTGATGTGCCCACAGCTATCGGAATAAAATAAATC